GGAAACACGTATAACTGCTATTTTAGCTGCAGTTGGTGCCTCTAGTACATGTGCTGAGCAGCCATGAGCATTTTTTTTTTTTTGCACTAGCTTTGGGTCTGACTGGAAATCGTCAGTCCATCAGAAGCATGTCTCGGATGCAGTATAAAAACTTAACTTGGCAGCATCGCTAGGGACGAATGTGTCATCCTGCGTCGTCTGACTGGTCTGCTATTAAACGTTATATTATTAACATTCAATAAGTATGTATGTCGCTATGTAAGGTTACCAACGAATTACGGTGGTTTTGTGAATGTTGCTTGGCATTTGTAAGCTCTTTTTGCATGTTTTGGAACTGTTGTTTTTTATCTCATTTTGTAGTTTTCGTTTTTGGATTTTTGGATTTTTTTCTTTTGATGCATAACTATGGTGAAAGGAATCTATTTTTGAGAACTTTTCTCAGCGGAAAAAAGTATTAATGAAGATTTTACAGGTGAAACCAGGTGCCTTGCTGAACTCTGGGCAATGAATGTATTCGGTGGGTGTTTTTCTTATGTTTTTGGAGGCGTCTAAGGCGTCTTTATTGCTGGCATTTTGTCTTCCCGAGATGGTTTTAGTGGTACATTTAGCATAGGCGCGTGTGAGTCAGAGCCCGAGTAGGCGAGCTTGAGAAATGTCTTAATTTTACTCTGCCTAATGCAATACTTTTGTCCCGTAATTGCTGTGAAACAGCCTCAGAACGTGCGTCTCTCTACGTTTGTGGACTTTGAGATCGTAATCCCGTCGTTTTTGTCTGCTTATAGTGTGTCTGATTCTGTGATCCGATTTAGGATCACGGTTATTGTGCGACAAGTTGCGTGCGTGCGTATACTGATCGATGATTGGTCCGATGCTTCGCCGTCCGGTCGGCGATTGGCCGCCGTCGCGCCTTGGCGGCTGCTGATTGGTCGTTGCACATCCGTCGCAGCCCGTGATTGGTCGTTGTAAGGTCGTCGCATTCACTGATTGGTCGCGGCTGTCTAACTCGACACGTGCGCGTCTTGTTGGCGGCGCCTCGCATTCAGGAGATCCGACGACACTAGCCTAACCGAAACGCTGTGAAGTTGCCAACTAACAATAACTGGAATATAAACAATGGCTTGGTACCTCGCGCGTCTGATTGGATGGTCCAACCGTCCGGCCGTCCAACCGGAGTTTAGTGTCTGTCAAGTGTAGAGCGCACGGGGTTGTTTTCCATGTTACAATGTCGTGTGCGTCATGACATGGTGAAAATGGGCTGCAGAATGTTTGCCGCTGGACACTCGAATGGTACACAGTCAGGCAAATCTTCCTATAGTCCTATAGTCTGTTCCATATCAAGCTTGCAGTCGGAGTTTCTTCGGCAGATCGCTCCTCCGCTCAAGAATTTGCGTCTTCAATGTAAGAGCTGTATATATATAAATCACGCACTGCTTTTAGCAGGGCACTTCGGCTGCAAACTTGAAACTCAACAGAGTATAATATCAGCCGAAATTAATTTATTTGCTCTGCGCCCGAGCGGACTGGAGCGAATACAACATTGGTATTGAACTTGCGTTCTCGTACCGTGAGGCGCTATCTCCTGTCGAGGAAAGCTTTAGTGACACAAAACATTTGAGCTGTGCCGTACGCGAGCAGTGCACATTGCGTGTTCTTAACCCATTAGTGCCCAATGTTCCCATTTGGGAACATTGACAATTTTGGCTCTAGGCTCTGATCCTAGGATCGCACAGCGATTATGAATATTGGTTCTGGTATCTGAAGCCCTGAACAAAATTTAGCAGCCTAAAAACTCGAATTTCACCCTTATAAAGCACCTCTCTTGATTTTCGAAATAGCCCTTTTTTGCTACACTGTACCTTCATCAAGAAAATAATTTCCTTAAAATCGATTTCTTGATAGATTTCCTTATAATTTCCAGTAATGCTTCAACAATAAGTTCCAATTCTACGGGAGAAATCTCAAAAGAAATGCTTCACCACAAAAGCGTCGGGGGCTTCCAAAATTTGGATGTTCCCAAATGGGAACATTGGGCACATCCACTGGTAGGTCAGCTCATAATGGACTGACATTGGAAGGCGAAAGCGAAGCTCTTTTTCTCTCTCCTCGCGCTCTCTCTCTCTCTCTCTCTCTCTCTCTCTCTCTCTCTCTCTCTCTCTCTCTCTCTCTCTCTCTCTCTCTCTCTCTCTCTCTCTCTCTCTCTCTCTCTCTCTCTCTCTCTCTCTCTCTCTCTCTCTCTCTCTCTCTCTCTCTCTCTCTCTCCATCTCCCATTTCTTCCCTCCCTCTCTTTCTCTCACTCTCACTTGTTCTCAATTTCCACTGACTCAATTTGCACGTCCTCTCTGGCTGGTTCTGCTCTCACGCTAGGTCTTACACCCGGTGTGTCAAGTGACAGTATCGCTCACGTTACTGATGCTCGGATGATAGAGCGTCGTCTCGTCCAGCAGTGTCCTATCCGTCGGCGCCAATGTCAGCGAATGGAGTAGGGTCGTTGGTATCGACACTCAACACACCTCGGGTGCCCGAGACAGAAGCTCTCAGTCTGCCAAGTGCGTTCGGGGAGTGATGCACAGCAGAGGTGACGGGTGGTGACTTATCGTCCTGACCATGGCGCGTAGATCTGTGCGCCTGCTGAGTGAGGCAATCGCTGCTGTTGCCAGTGATGACCACGATGAAGGGCTGGACTTGGTAATACTGCCACCGGAAGGTGGCGATCAGCAAGTGTCCGACACAGAGTTCGGAGATGAGGACAATTTGGAATCAATCCAATCCCTACCGACAGAAACAGCCGGTACGCTGGAGATTCACACGGCTGCTGACGTAGACGACAGTCCCGCCGGTCCATCGGGTGCCGGTCCATCGAAACTGACGGGCCGTCCGTCTGCACGTACTACAAGGGCTTCAGATGTGCCGAGATGGAGAGCCCGCCCAGAAATCGAGCCAATGGAAAGCCAGGAGCTGCCTGCTTTTCCCACCGGTCACCCAGAATTGCAGAGCAAAACACCAATCGAAGTATTTCGAATGTACTGGGGTGATCAACTATGCAACATGATTATCACAGAAACAAATCGATACGCCAGACAGAACAACGATCAAGTCTTCCAGCTAACAAGAGAGGAGCTTGACCAGTTCCTCGGCATCATGTTCCTTACGGGATATGTATCTCTACCTCGGCAACGCATGTACTGGGAAAAAGGTGAAGATGTCACTGCAGATGCATATGCAGTATGCACTGATGCTCTGACACTGCTGACTAATCCCGAGCAACGGGCACTGTGCGCGACACAGGCTTGAGATGATGTCTCGCTTCGACAGGTGAGATACTTTGGTGATGAATGGAAAACTGGTATCGCTGGCTTGTGATTCATCGTTCTAAATGTCTCGCTCTTCCGTAAGAGTAGAATAAAACGACTTTGGGTGTCAAAAATGTGTGTTGACAAGGGTCGATCAGTGAAGTGAGACCACAATCTCATTGTTGATAGTGACAAGGTCAAAAAGAAGAAAAAGCCCTTCTTTAAAACGTTGTCTAATATGTGTTTCTACTGTTGCTTTTTTCTTTTCTATCCGCATAATGCCTACGCCTCTTACCCCCATTTGTGCCCAATGTTCCCAAATGGGAACATAATTTTTCACCAAGTTCGAAATTTTTTAGGGTAAAACCAATGTCACAGCTGGAATCAGGGACGTCGAAAACCATCGGAACACCATTCGAAACATCAAATATCGCCGTATTTATATGCTTGGTCATTAATGGGTTAACTTGCCGACTATCGGTGCTGCTGGCTATCGTCACACAATGTCGAGTAGTCGATCAACAAACGACTCCCAGGAGACATGATTCGCCAGAATCGGGTATGAGTAATGTAAACAGCTGTCGGTCGAAGCTCGTGCCGACGATATTGATATCAGCCGTGTCGCGCTAAAGGCATGTCCGACATCAAACCGTACAGACGACCGCACATAAGAGCTCCCCGAGTAGAAAAATTATTACAAATAACAGAGAGTCATAAAAGAGAAACGAAACATGCGTCTACATTGCGCCCTATATTAGCTCCAAAGCTCGTCTTCGGGACTGAGTGGGCAGCCTGCGGGACCATAATACCAACTCGATCTATCACAAACCAAGGGGTGCTGTGGTCTACCCCTGACAATTCTGACCAAGCTGCATCACTCAGCCCGGCCCCGAGGTCGGTGCAGTCGCATCCCAGCCTAGCTCCTGCGAGTTCATACCCAACACACAGCGTCCGCCCGCATCGGCCCGTTGCCGGTCGGCCGGCCGATGCCGCCAGCGTCCACAGCCGTGCCGCGCGCCGGCACGCCGCGCTGTGCCCTGCAGTCGAAACACAGCCACCTGGTGCGTCTCGCGCCACTGCGCACATTTCCCGCCATCACGCGCGCACTCGAACGATTCCATACACTACCAATAGAAATCATAATGGGTAACACATAGTTAAAGCTGAGTTGCACGATACATATGACATTCGTTCTGAAAAGAAGTTTCAAAACGAGTGCGAATTGGCCTACATGTACAGCCTTGGTTATCTAGATGCCCATACTCGGTGTATCTAGATGATTTAATGATCACCACATGAATCACGATGATGAGCTAAAGCCGTGACAAATGAAAGCACATATGATAAATAATGAAATCTAACAAGCAAACAACAGATGCAGGTGAACCCAGGATCGTCCCACGAACAATTTGCAAACATTGCCACAGTCGTAATATCCCGGCCATAGAAATTCATATCACTTGTTTTAATACCTGCCGCTGCATATCACCATATCGTATGATATACAGAAGTCATACATCGTGCAGAGATATAAGTAGAAAAGAAACGAATTTTCTCCATGCAATTCACATGCAACAGCTCCCGAATAGGTAAGTAAACTCTACTACAAAAGTCCCTAACATATCCTCAAGCGCAGCCATAAACCACCTAGCATCCCGCCGGAAAATGTCTCTAGAGCACCCCTCACCTGACAGTCAGACAGTACAGCCCGTACCCGACAGCAGGTATGAAAAGTCCTACTTCCCCCACCATAATCGTCAGGCTACCAGCTATCCACCGCGGGTACTATTGGATGTCAGTTACAGAAAATTGGGACGCCGATACCGGAGGGAAATGCGAATACAAACCAAACCACGTAAAACACAAAACAAAAATTGGCCAACCTGGGAAATTGAGAGAAATAGTTACCGATATTCAGAGAGTTTTATATTAATTTGAGAAGGGGAAAACTAACAAAATGTCAAAACATAAGGCTGGGTGGGCAATGGGCATTAGGTATTGGTAGGCCAAAGTATGGGTATCTGACTGACATCCAATGGAAATAGCACCCCCTCCCGCCTCTCCGCCGAGCTCTCAGCAGCGCGCGCGCGAGAACGGCTGATTGCAGCGCACCAGGGGTATATCCTCGAGGAAGGCAACCAGTCCCTCTGGATGCAGCCGGCGCAGGCAGTCGGCGGCAGTCAGCGAGTCGTGCTCCGATATGCCGTCCTTTCGGTCGAGTTGGTCGTGCAGCTGACTGCCGAGGCGGATGGAGCGGCACGGGTCCAGGAGGGCGGACGGGCCGGCCGGTGAGGCGCCGGCAGACAGCCAGCCGGCAGGGGACGCAGGGGCGGCCGGTGAGGCGCCGGCGGAGAGCCAGCCGGCAGGGGACGCAGGGCCGGCCCCCTGCAGAGAGTCCACACAGTCCGCAGACGCCCTGAGGAGGAGAAGGGGTCCCGGTCATATCCCCGCGGTACACCGACTAGACGAACATGTTGTGTTGCATGTCATGTTGCATGTGCAACATAACGTCATCAATTTTTCAGCCAATAGTGTGAGTGATTCTCGGCTGACAACAGCACAGCAGCTGAATGTGTACAGGCCTCTAATCACACTGTTGAGTGTTGATGCTCTTCAAATCATACTAAGACAGTAGTTCGGCTAATGCTCGACAAAGACTGGCTTCCAACTAGAGGGCATGCTGGAGTGGCAAGATGCGACAAGAAACCTGCAGGAAAGAAACTTAACGAAGTGGCCGTGGTACAGTTCGCTGACATCAAACTAAGTTAACTGAGCTTGAAGACAAGAATGACAACCAAACTGACCATAAATACCAGAAAGGAAAAAGAACGTTGACACGAAAAAGCAAATAACAATGCATAGGAAGAAAGGAGACAAGTCTCGTACATGCAAGATAGATACACCTGACGCCAGTGGCTGCCGGCTGTGCGGCAGGTGCCACCCACCTACCGTCCGGCGGTGCATGTTCCGGTGTCCCGGTGCCTACCCTGGGTCCGCGCGCGGGCTCATCGCCAGCATTTTCAGGTGTTTGGTCCCGCCCAGGTGCTGCCTCAGACTCTCCGGGCCGGTGCAGTCTATTTGACACACGTGACACCGGTACCCGCCTCCGATCACACCGACGAAGGCCGGTGTGGCCGGGCCTCTGGCCGGCGTGGCGCGGCCGCTGCTGAGGCCAGAGGCCGGCGTCGATCGGCCGCTGGCGGAGCTACCAGCCAGCGGGATGAGCGCCTCCCCCGCGCCGGTAACGGCCGATCTGTGGACGACACAGCCGCGTCAGATGAGAGACATGGAAATCAGTACTCTGAAGGCTAGAGGCAAGCAGGATGATATCACACTCATCTGGAACATTTGTCGAAGCACCATCAGCCCCCCCCCCTTCTGTTGTAGCACCTCACCTCTCGGAGGGTGTCGATGGGACCCACTCCCAGTCCCGCGGGGCCGGCGACGGGACGCCAGACCCGTCCCCCGCCGCCGCCGACGCAGAAGACGCCGACGGCGGGTCGCTGAAAGACGCAGACGACGCCGACGGCGGATCGGTGGAAGACGCAGCGACGTCCGAGACAGCCGAAAACGGGTCCTTGGAAGACGCAGCTCCGTCCGAGACAGCCGAGGGCCTGAGAGACAGCGGCATGGTGCCGGTGATAACGGCGAGGGAAAGGGGCCATGGGAGGCTTATTTGCTGGCAGAGAGCAGTCTGTTTGTCTAAAATGTCCCCACATAAACACAATTTGCGATGATTGCAGGTTTTCAATATCAGACATGCAGCCTAGGATGACCCGAGTAGCTAAAGCTCAGCAAGTGAAGCATATATCTGTTTGCAAGGTATCCAGAAAGTACTTCACAGCTTCAATATCATCAGTGTGAGCACTGTCAAAAAAAGTTCAACACTCTGTCATACCCATGATCTTCGATGCATCACTCACCCAGCCCCCATCACTCACACATATCCCACCTGCAGCGCCCCAACCCTCCACCCTCCCACCCAACGGCCACTCACAAGAAGGGGTTGAACGGGTTGGTGCTCGGCCACGGTAGGGCCTCTGCTGTTTCCATAGAGGAAGAGCTGCTGGATACCTCACTCATGGTGACCGATTCCGGCTCCGGAACTAACTCCGGCTCCGGCCCCGGCTCCGGCTCCGGCCCCGGGGCCGGGGCAGACGCGCAGTGGTCGGCCGCCATTTTGATGTGCTTGGCGCTCTGCACGTGCTGTTTGTAGGGCTCGGGCCCGGAGCAGCCGACCCGGCACAGTTCACAGTAGTACTGGCGGCCCGGGAGGCTGGCCGGGGTGGAGCGGCTGGACGGCTGAGACGGCGGAGCAGCAGAGTCCGACAGAACGACGAAACTGCTCTCACTGCTGGCCAAAGACAAACTGAAAACAGGCGGGAATCAGATTCAATGCACTTAGTTGTATGTGTATGCTATTTACAAAGCATATGACAGCCTTCGGTTCGCATAATGAACAAATTTGACTTTCATGATGGGCTACTACTGTTTTACTTACCATTCATTGGAAAAGAGCCGCTAACACCACGTCATTTCATTATGATAGGTCCTGAGTTGAATTTACATGACCGTGAATTTTTCATAAGGCGGCAAGGGACCATTTCAATCAAATCACAATATGAACGAAGACCCAGAACAGATCAAAGTGAGAATGCAAGTCGAGCAGGACCATTCGGCATCCCAAACAATTGTGGAAAGTCACCACTCTCCGACACGCAAAAGCCGGAAGACAGAGAGGTAGTAGGTAGGTACTCTGTTCAACAGAGTCACTCACAAACTCTAACGTTTAGAAGAAGTATCTCACTTTCACTCTGCCCCTACAAGACACACTTCAGCAAATATTCTTCCCAGACGAAAAACAAATGCGTAAACACTTGACGACTAACTGACAGCACTAACCTGCGTTGTAGCTCCTGAGAGGCCGCCTGTCCAGTCTCCGCCGCCGTTTTGATGTGCTTGGCGCTCTGCACGTGCTGTTTGTAGGGCTCGGGCCCGGAGCAGCCGACCCGGCACAGTTCACAGTAGTACTGGCGGCCCGGCAGGCTGGCCGGGGTGGAGCGGCCGGACGGCTGCGGCGAGTCGGACACCGCCTGCGAGCCCCCACCAATCTCCCTCCGAGCGGCCTCGGCCGTCAGCTTCAGGTGTCTGCCGCTCTCCGTGTGCTGCCGCCACGGCTCGGCGCCGTAGCAGGTGATGCTGCAGGCGGCGCAGTGGAAGGAGTGGTCGACCGGCTGCGGAACGGCGGCCGGCGCCGAGTCGGAGGCCACAGACGGGCTCTGCCGATCGTCCACGGGGTCCGCAGAGGGAGGGCTGCGGGAAACACAGACTGTGTTCAGAGGGAGGGCAGCGGAATACACATTACACAGACTGTGGTCCGAGGGAGGGCTAGGGGAAACAGGCTGTGGTCAGAGGGAGGGCTAGGAGAAACAGGTTGTGGTCAGAGGGAGGTGCAGGAAGCACAGGCAGGCGGCTTAGAGGGACCCCTGTATCTGCGTAAAGCAGGGGAGGAACATTGTGATGAATTGTGTAAGGCTATGTGTATTGTATTGCGTTACATACATAATATTAATGCTAGGGGCTGCCTTTGCTGTTTTGATAGGTATACAGTTGAGAAAACGCAGTGCACCAACCAAGACGAAAAACACGCGGCTCTAATCGCCACACACATGTGTGCACGCATTCACAGCCCCCACGCACCTTTGTGCGCTCGACTTCACCCTCTTTCCATCGTCATCCCCACCGTACGAATCACTCCCCTACCCCTCGATCCATCCCACACATCGCTCACCTCCAGAACCCGGCCGCCTCGGCCTGCGCCTTCTTCTTCAGATGTTTGGCGCTGTTTTCGTGCTGTCTCCACGGTTCACGGCCCGAGCAGCTGAGTCGGCAGTACTGGCAGTAGAAGCTACCGCCGCTGCCTCCCGCAGATGGAGCGGAGGGCAGAGCTGGGGATCCGCCAGAGCCGAGGATGTGCTCCACGCTGGAAACATGAGGCTTTGGAGTCATACGGCTTGTCGGGCACGGTTCGTTGCCGATTAACAAATCAAATATTTACGCAGTTTCAGTGTTAATGACACCTTGAACCCACAATGGACACATGGCTTGGAGGGCCTTGGACTTGGAGCGGTCTTAATAAAATATGTAAAGTAAAACGAAATGTCAGGTATGACGTGCTTAATTGCATAACCACCTTTGCGCTTCCAATAACTTGCGTTACCAGCTGTGCAATATCCAGGTCTCTGTGACAAGCCTCTGACCTCAGACCGTCTGCGCACCTCTGCTGGCCGGTGGCCACTCCGCCGGCCGCCTGCTCCAGGCTCGACCTCTTCAGGTGTTTGGCGCTCTGCAGGTGCTGCCTCCAGGGCTCGGGTCCCGAGCAGCCCAGCTGGCACGCCTCACAGAAGAACGGCCTCGCCTCGGCGCCAGGGGGCCGCCGACTCGGGCTGGGAGTCGGGGAGTCAGAGTCGGAGACGGCCAGCGGCGAGCCGGGGTTGGCAGGGGACCTGCATAACGGAGACGGACGTCAGTTAAAGCCTCAGCGCGGACAGTGTCGGGGGGGGGGGGGGGGGTGGTAGAGCATGATGCATAAGTATGCATGACACACAGTTGTCAGAGCAGCATGAATCATGGTTAATGCACAAACAAGTTGTTTGCTAGTGAATATAACCAACAACACACCGCAACGGACCCATGACTGGTCCACAGTGCACACGGGCCGCTAGCGGTACTACGTCAGCAGCCCGTGTATTATTGGAACCCGCTATCTGAGGTTAATACCCTAGATAGTCCTATCAGCGCTGCACGCAGGGTCGATCAGGCCACCCAATGCCGAACGGCCGTGACCGGTCACCACAGAATCAGCCGTGAGGGATAGATGGTGCCGGGGGTTGTGAGGATAGAAACCGCATCGGGGAATAGGACTGGTGAGAGAAACTACGTACTGTTCGGTAATTTACACCAACATCTCCCCGGATATGATTGTCCAAAGCCGCTAACGCGTCTCCCGGTTGAAGACCGATTCAGAGTGTCTCTCACCGACTAGCGTCGCATCTCACATAAAGTAGGCGTCTGTCACCGAGTGGAGCGCTTCTCACCCACGGCCCGGGACGTCTCGTGGCGCGCTCACCCGTCCGCCGCGCCGGCCGCGCCCCGCGCGCGCAGGTCCCTCTCCAGTTTCATATGGCGCGCGCTGTCAATGTGCTGGCGCCACGGCTCCGGTCCCGAGCAGTGCAGTCGGCAGATCTTGCAGAAGTAGCCTCGCGCCGGGCCCGCCACCGTCGTCGGCCCGCCCGGAGACGCTGTCCGAGGCCAAAACGCCGGTGGCGGCGACCTGGCATCGCCCGGCCGCATCCTGAGAGGTCGACGTCAGATCAGGTCAGGCCAGCGTCGAGGTCAGCACAGGTCAACAGTCGAAGGACAACTGTGGTCTAGTAAAATCGGCGGCGCTCGGAATCAGGAACCGTGCTTCTATACAGAGCGCAAGGTTTACAGCGAGCCACACGTCGGAGTTTGGAAATAAGCTGATCACAAACGATGGTATAAATTGATAACGCTGGCGCAGCTTTCAGCAGCCACGCGCCGGCTGTGGTTACACTTCGCCACAGAGGGAGTAGCCAGCTGATCCGTGGTGGGCTGGCATTTCCGTCACGTGACCAATGTATTTCCACACCGTGATTACCCGTACACCAACGAGCAGACGTCTCGTGACTATTGACTAGACGACACATGTCAAGTGATTGACGTGCCCCACCCCGGCTACACCGGGGTAACATGGCTGCCGGCTTGAGGTCATCTTTGAACTGTGGACCCAACGGCCGTAGTCTGAACTCCGTTTGTTTGTTTTTTGTTTTGTTGGGTTAGGCCCTTTCGGTCCAATTAGACCATTTCAGGGCCGGAAGGATGATAGGAATTAGGGGGAGACATTGGTCTGGGCAGGCACCCTAGTGAGTCACCGGGGCTGAGCCCATCCCGAAGGACAGGCCGACCAGCCCCAAGGTACTCACTGCACCCGGCTACGGGGTGCGCTCCCTCGGGAGCAGCGGTGCCGCTCCAAGGGAGCAGCCCGCATGAGATAAAGTTGCCTGTCCAGCCCGGAGGGGAGTTGCGGCGTGGAGAAGGATTTCAGTATCCTGAGGATAGAAGCACGGAACGGTGCTGAACTCCGTAACCTGCTCCAACAAATGGTCATACTCCACCAGACCAACGGCGGCCGTAACACTCCCGAACAAACGGCCGTACGTACAGTGCGAGACCAAGCGGACATATACTGGCAGACAGACGACCTGGCGCCGGTGACCCGACAGGCGACAGCGGTATCATACTGGGCCCCGTCGGGCCCGTCTTCACCTGGACAAACACATACTTTAGTGCAGAGGACCATCACACCAGTCGGTGGTCAAGCAGGCCTGGAGTCAGGACCTGATCATCAAACCCGGATTAATTAAATCAGTACCGGTGGAAGACCCAGAACAGACATCAGACTGGCCAGACAGACACGACCCTGCCAGCCGCCTCCCGGTCCCGGGACCCGAACGTAAGTCCGAACATGCACCGCGCACAAAACACCACAACCACAACCTGAACCACCGCCGGTCGCAAGACCGGAGAGAGCCTTCTTGATGACGCCTGTCTCTGCACGGCGTATTTACAAATTGCAACCGAGCTCCGCCGTGGGGTAAGGTGGGCAGGGGTTTTCGCACTACGGCTGCGGTTGAACTACCGTCTGTGGTAGAAACTTCAGGACGATGGCGCGTTTCATACGAAATCTGGCGCAATGTTTGTTTGCTTCTGTACTTGTACTGTTATTTGCTGTGAATTCTTGAAGTGGGAGTGTTTCAATAACAATTTATGGATTATTTGAGTTTCTTTATATAAACATAATACTGATATGATCAATTACTTAGTTTGGGAATTGATACACATTTTGTAGAGATTTGTCTGGCAAATGGTGTAACAAACCTCAAGCCTATCATGATCTGAAGCCGTTATAGGTAACATCAAAATTGCTTCAATGTTACCTTGTACCTTGTTGGAAAGACTGGAGCATGGTTCAAGATGATGCGTAAAAATTCAAGATTTGTGCGAAAGCTTGTGACTGAAGAACGAAAACAGTTTGATATGATGGCTCAATCAAACGTGGAAATGGACGACAAAAGTAGAGTTTCAACATTCCAGCATGTGAGAATAACTTCAGAAATTCATAGTTCTTGTAGTATTGCATTCTTCTTATGTACAGTTAATAGGTTTTGTTAGGGTATTTCAAATTCATTGTGTCAGTTGTGAGTTGAGACATAGATGGATTGCGGAAAGTTTTTTAGAATCATTGTATGGTACCTAGCTAGGTACCTACTTGTTCGGTAAAAAGGTATGTGCTGAATGCCATGAGAAGGTTTTTTATGATTTAATATATGGTCGTTGTTGTAACTACAAAAATGCAAGCTTACTAGCAACTAGTTTCTGAATCAAATCGAAAGTACCTATTTGCCATGAATGTAAATATGTACCTGCAAAGTATGTCAATAAATTTGTGTGATATTGACCAGAGAGTTTTATCATCTGGGCATTTATGTCGCTTCCTACATTAGGTGTTAAGCATAGTAATTACGGATGAACTTTGTGCCAATATCTTCAATGCACATTGCACAATGTATTAGCATGTCTACAACCCTCACTGATCCTGCTATAGCTATAGGCATTTGGCACCAGCTTGACCAAGGGCATGAACTTCACAGTTGCACAACCTTTTGTTTTGTCATGTACCACCATTTTTTTTTTGTGCACCAGTCACTTTTTTGTGCACATAGCAGTGCACACAACAATGTGCAGAGGGCCTACACAAAAACAACATGATTAGTGTGCACTATGCACAGCATTGTACCCTGATTATTTGAATATTTTGACCACTCAACAGTCAACAGTCAGGAGATAATTATTTAATATCACATTTATTATACATCACTTGTCAAACAATAGCATGATGACACACATTTTGACAAGCATTCATGGTAGTATTCCAATAAGTTGGACAGTCACCTCCCTGGGCGTCATTTTTCCGGGAAGGTACCTCTGCAGTGTTGTGGTAGGCTAGGTTGAATTGGGTTAAGTTAGGCGAAGTAAGGTGGTTAGGACCAGGTCAGACCGTAAGGCCTGGTCAGGTTGATTTTAATCTTTCATTCTAATTTGACATAGATACCTATTCCCTATGTTTTTGCTCCAGCCTGAATTTCATTAGGTAATGAGTTAATTTTGCTTTGTTTTTATCTGTCTTGTTTTGTGTTTTTGTCCCTTATATTTTGCCCCATAGGCAAGGGTGGATCTTTTCCAGGAAAGGTGGTGGAGCATGATTGGAGGCGCTCAACCAGACGGCATAGGAGGGCACGATTTCTGAACGCGCACTGATGCCTGATTCAAGCCACGCTGTCTTCATGCGGGGCGGCGCGCTACTTAAAAGTCCCTAAAAGAACGGGAAATGATGCCGATAGAACCTTCAATCATTCTGGGCTAACGCTTATGACTGGGAAAAAGTCGCGATCCCAATTCAATCGAAAACCTGTGGGCTCTTGTTCAGCAGGAGGTGTATGAAGAGCCACCCGCCATAAGCACTGCTCAACCGCAGGCACAGGTTTAGACGGCGTTGGTCCGCATCAAAGCCAGTGTGCTGGAGAATTCATTGGCTGAAATGCTCCAGAACGTTCACCACTGTGTTTTTATGAAAGGTGGCTACAAGCTCAGTTAAAAGAAAAAGTACCAGATTGTTTTGCTTTTTAATTACAGCGGGAAGAAAGGTGTCCGGATAATTTCGTTACACCCCCTGTAATGTTCAAATCCTGATCCTCCTCCTATAATTGGGACAACACAAGAGCCCGTTGGAGGGAGGCCTGAATAAAAAAATAGTTGCTAAATTCGAAATCAGCTCCAAAAACTAGCCTAGAAACATGTAAAACTCGAAAAAGGAACCGAGGTCATCAAAGGTCATTGAGCTGACCTGACCTTCAGGTGACCTTGACACCCACCCTAATGCATGGGACCAGCATCATATCACATGTTTCAACGCTTGAAACCACGTGAAGACTGCAACCGCGCGGCTAATGCGATCCGGCATACGCCGAATCGCGATTCGGGCCAAACATGGTCTCGAGAAATAGGTCACAGGTCAAAGGTCATTTAGGTCAGGGTCATGAAATTTTCAGGGTAGGTGTAAAATTGATAAAATCGGGGGCATTGAAATTTTCGTCGCGATCGGACGGTTTTTACACGAGTTACTCACGAAAAACCGATAAAGCGCACCCAAAAAGGCAGAAATATGCACATGCGATATCCTATACTGCAAAAAAAGTGCATCATTTTTTAACGTCGCCGACAAATTGTAATTACCCTAAGCTCAGGCAGATGTATGGTAGAAAATGCCCCAAGTGAAATACACTACGGCGGAAATAAAATACCCTACGGCGGAGCTCGGTTGCAATTTGTAAATACGCCTCTGCACGGTCGGTTAACCCTCGCATGTGTGCGGCGTTTTCCAGCTTCTAATGTGTAGGGGGGGGGGGGGGTCGGTTGGACCCCCCCTTGCCGTTTGGCCCCTGATCGAGCTAGAGCTTCGCGGAAAAAACGAGCGTGTTGCCCGTGACGAGAGGAAGCCGATGATACCCAATTTTAAGGTCCTAGGTCATTGGTTGACCTTCCAGGTCAGGTCAATGACCCAAAGTCGGGAAAATCGGGACCTGTTAGAAAGTCGTAAAGTGTGGCTGCTAAGGGGTTTTTCGGGGTGCTGATCACGAATATCGTGTTAGTTTTGATCACAGATGATGTCTTGAAGCATTTAGACCAGGTCGGGTCAGGTCAGGTCAGGTCAACCAGTAGGCGTCGTGACGGGTATTCGTAGTACGTGTCAACCGCCTCTGACAGCTTCGTAACATGTTACGAAGTCACCAAAACTACTTCGTAAATGTTCAAATGGTTGCCAAATTCGAATTCAGCTCCAAAAACTAGCCTAGAAACATGTAAAACTCGAAAAAGTGACCCGAGGTCACCCGAGGTCACCAAAGGTCAATGACCTGACCTGACCTTCAGGTGACCTTGACACACACGGGAGTAACATCAAATCACATGTTTGAACGTTTGAAACCACGAAAAGCTTGCAAACACGCGGCTAGTGCGAGCCGACATACGCGAAATCGCGATTCCGGCCAAACATGGTCTCGGTAAAGAGGTCACAGGTCAAAGGTCATTTGGGTCAGGGTCATGAAATTTTCAGGGAAAGTTTCGTCGCGATCGGCCGCTTTTTACGCGAGTTATTCGCGAAAAACCATGGGGGGGTCCATCCGACCCCCCCCCCCCCTACACATGCGAGGGTTAAACTAAGGTCCTTTCCATCCAGCATCTTGGCTAGTCACAGCTCACCTGACCAGCGGAAGGTTGTTGTTGTTGCTGTTGTTTTGTTGGTGAATTAGGGCACGCAGATCCTAGGCTCTAGCTGGCAGTGGAGGTCGCTCGCCGCTGACTTTGATTGATCCTCTTGACTCGGCTGCCTCTCCGACCAACCAATCTCGACCCGCAGCTTCACTGACACTGACCCTTGTCCGCCGCTCTGGCCTGCGCGCTGAGCTCGATTCGCGCCGACCGCGCCGCCGCCGCTGACGGTACTCCCTCACGACGGGCCGTCAGCCGAGACTGCAGAGAAGTGACGTCACACGACGGAGCGATGACGTCACATTGCAATCGTGACGTCACAGACTGGAGTGGACTGTCGGTGCCGACGCAAACTCCACTTTCCCAGCACAGCGTCCGCTGCGGCTGATTCTGATCGTTCTCAGCCGACGAATCAGAATGGCTTGACGAATGGGAACTGGGTCGGTTCGGCGAATCGCTGGGGTGGGCGGGAAGCGCCGCAGGGGACATGTCGGGTATTCCCCGACCTGACGCCACCTCCCCCCCCCCCCTCCCCTCCGCCGCCCGCCCCGGCTGGCAGTCTGCCAGGTGAGGGAGGGGTCGACGGCGCGGACGCATCGCGTCGGCCGATAGGACCGAGGCCGCCGGCCCGGCCCTGCCCCACAGCGGCCTAAGTCGCGAACCGAAGACGTGAGTCAGTGGTCATTGAACACTGAGAGGCGCGCTGCAAACCTGATAAGTGATTGAGATCAGATAGTGGCCTTATGTGATATGTCTCAGTCTGAGATCAGATATCGCCTTAGAGTCTGCTATTTGAATTGATACTGAGATTGAGATAGATCGCGTGGCATATTGACGGTTTTACGGAGTTGATGACATTGACATGAGGAGATCAAGATAAGCCAAAATTTCAAGTAAATCACAGAAGTTGTTTCGTGGCTTTCGGGCATATTTGATACTTGGCTTCATTTTTGCGGTTATCATTATTTACACAAACAAAAATAAATGCTTACCACTTAGCAGCTGCCACGGTTTCCTATCTCGTCCACGCGCTGCTTTCTTTTTCCACCGTTGATGTTGATGTAAACAAAAAATAAGGAATCAAGCTCGTCACAAATGCGCCGTATATGGAAACCAAAGTTGCTACCATATTTAAGGTTGTTGAAGTATTTCCTTATTTCCCTTCATATTTTCTTTATCGAGTTTGTTTTCTTTTTCAGTCGCTGTCATCTCACATCTGTCCAAGCGAAGGCACGAATATTGCAAGCGAAAAAAATGCTATACCCGACGCAAACTAGTAAGTCCCCGGCTTCCCAATCCCATCACCTCCCACATTCATCCCTCTTTGGTGCCCTGATTCATTCTTTCCCGTGGCCGCTTCAGCTTATCGACAGAGTTGACCTGTAGTCATTTGCCCTGGCCTATCCGCTATTGTTCTGAGCTTGTCTTTTGCCAGGCAGGTAATGCCACAGGTTTCTGTATGTACTATGGGGCGCTTTCTTTCGAAGCTGAATCTCTCATAGTCCGCCGTCATTCTGTTTTTACCGGCACCATACATCTCGCACAAGACCAAACCAGCGGCAATTTCACGTGTATTCCTCGAATCCGTATGGCATGAGACAAACAAACAAACACAACGTTCTACAACAAACGAATATGCTACGAGACACAATAACACAAATTGACCAGTCTTGAGCCACTAAAATCCTTCACGGTCGCAAGTCATGTCCTTCCGAAACCCTAATGGAATGGTCAAAGCTACCCCCGAAGCTCAATGTTGACCACAGTGAGCCGCTAGTTGAATCACACGTAACGACTGGTCTCAAATCAATAAACTGCACCACAATTCGTAATCTCAGGCCAGACTGATGTGAGCTTGCAGCAGGGATCCACTATTCTCTCCCCACATGCCCAGCTGCGGTAATCGTAGGTACCGTGACACCGTCCCGCCGCGCCCCGTCCCTCCATCCCACCGCGCCGCGCCCCGTCACCGCCCTGGAGCCCGTCCCCGTACTGGGCATCCCTGGTCAGATACATACCAGAGGTATATTTTACCACTCCCTCCTTCAATTTCCAACCATCCACTACTCTACGCATCAACCTTTCTCTCGTTGTTCTCTCCTCTCTCAATGCAGTTTATGAGTGTATCTCTGCTACTGTCTATGTCTTAGTCTCCATCTCCGTCTCCGACTCCATCTCTCTTTGTCGCCGTCTGTCTCGGTCTGTCACAGTCTCCGTCACCGTCTCCTCTGTCTCTCCGTCTGTCTTCTCAGTCTGTAGTCTGGTCTCCATCTCTATCTCTCCCCTATCTCCGGCGGCCGTCTGCTCAGAGCAGGCCGGGGAGGATGGCCTTCCGTCCGCGCGGGTACTCGGGGAACTCCTTCTTGTAGTTGCGGTGCTTGCCCAGCGCCCAGACGGTCATCTGGTACATCCCGGCGGCGGTGAACAGGCCCGCCGGCACACACTGCGTCATCACCGTGAAGCCCAGCCAGCTGACAAACTCGTACGTGTAGTTGGGACACGAGACGGCCGAGAAGAGGGCCGTGAACGGGTTCACGGTGGGCTGGGGGATGCGGCGCACGCGGCTGCCGGCCGGCCGCAGCTGACGCAACGCCCAGTGGATGCTCAGGTTACCGAGCTCGCCCAGCTGCGGACGGAGGGGGGGGGGGGTGGGGGGGGGGTGTCGGGTCAGCAAGAGCTCATCTTTCGAACAGACTGCACACTGCAGAGTACATCTGAGGCACTGCCAGATTTTAGTTCGCTGTAGACTTATGCTGAAAGCAAACGAAAGAATCCAGAAATGGATGTCGAAAAACCAGCCGTCACAACATTTATCATTCTTCCCCGCAACACGATCTTAGCGACATCTACGTTTTGCGCATATTGCACTGAATTAGGGAAGATACGACACAAAATTATACAAATTCAACCGGTCTATGAATTATAGAGAGTTATAAACATTTTAAGTAAACGCCCAACTCAACGTCAGCCTTCCCTCAACTCGCAGCGAACCTCCGTTCAACTCAACGTGAGGTGTGAATCTCCATCCAACTCACCGTGAGTTTCCGCCCAACTCCCCCTGAGTTTCCACCCTAATCACTGTGTGTTTCTTCCCTCCCAACTCGCTGTGAGTTTCCGCCCAACTCACCGTGAGTTTCCGCCCAACTCACCGTGAGTTTCCGCCCAACTCACCGTGAGTTTCCGCCCAACCCACCGTGAGTTTCCGCCCAACTCACCGTGAAGAGTACCACGCCGGTGATGAAGAGCGGCCGAGCCGGCGGCGTGAACAGCGGATGGTTCACGTGATACGCCACAAACACCGTGAAGCCCCAGTAGTACGAGCAGTTCTTGAACAGGTTCGACAGCGGCATCGTGGCGTGCGAGAACCGGTGCACAAAGAGCGTCTCCAGCAGCCGCTTGGCGTAGTGGATCGTCCAGCAGGCGCAGGCCACCCTGAGGGCGGAGGGTCGGTCACATATCAGGTTCGTCCCGCGTAGTCAGAAAGTGGGAATGGCAAACCACAGAGATAACCAAGATTCCCAAAGACCAAAAAACATTTGTAATCCATGTTTACGCTTATGCTGTATTATCTTAGCAGGATAATAATTTTTACATATCATACACAGCCATTTACAGTGTCTAAAATCATATTATACCTAAATCGTGTAAAATGTAGTCCCTCCAGAGCACAGTTACCAGTGCTGACACCTGGCGGATCCCACATCAAACCACCAGTACCCTCCCCCCTCATCCTCACTTGGCGGCGGTGGTGACGGGCTTGGCAGCGGCTCCGGCATCATACAGGGGCCAGGGCCGGGTGAAGCACCACAGGTAGAGCACCAGGGGTCCGGCGTACTCAGCCAGGAACACCGTCACCCAGCCGATCTGCGGTCCCAGGTCCTTCAGGTAGAGCTTGGTGCCCGCGTGCAGACCCAGCGAGGCCAGAGTGTCCGAGTCGGCGTAACCTGCCGGGAAGTAGGGGGGGGGGGGTGGAGTCAGAGTCCAGAGACGAGTCGAGGGAGGGAAGGATTACGAGAGCCAAAGCAGTGTGAACCACTTGGTGTAACCAGCCCGAAAAGTGCCGTGATCTGCATTAAATTGAATTACGAGAGGCGAGGACATAATCCAAATACTCAGGAGTCAGGACCCACACATAGTCTGGGAACCTATTTCTTCCTCGCGATCCCCTCTCCCCATCTCTAGTCAGATATAGAGGCGGGCATCTGGCGGGAAAAGGAGTCGCCGTGTCCTAGCATAGCTAACCATTGAGCTATCGGGTTCTCAGCTTCCCCAGCTCGAGTTGACGTACCTTTTCCGCGCTGTTTGGGCCTCAGGTCCACCCTGCCCGGGTACAGGCCCTTCCGCTTCTCACACACCTGATTCTTCAGCTCCAGAATGGAGGTGGACGGCGCGGCCTGCGGGTCAGTGGCGGCGGACGGTCAGAGTGGATTGTGGCCAACACGCCGCGGGTGAATGACGTAACTGGGTGGACTGAGAGGAGTTATTACTTACTAGAGATTCCGTTTTATAAATGGATTTAGGCAATACATGGCGGAAACATTTACTGATGTAAGTCTATTGTTTTGAAAGCAAAACGATGACGCGAACAATTAAGACGTTACTAGTTGTCGTAGATTTAGAGCGGCTTTCAAACAATGCTACCGTGGATGCATACTTTATTTGATGCCTACTGTAAACGACCCGAGGGTAGGGTTTCAGAGTAACTGGATAGCAATGGTCATCAGCGAAAACGTAAACGTTCACCTGTGAACGTAAATGAGTGTAGGTAGCAATCTGCATGAATTCGATTTAAAGCAAACGCAGCTCATCCAATGTAATACATTACAAATCCAAAAGCTCCATACGGTACACAAAATACACTATTCTGTGACAGCACACGCCATTAGACGGTGACCTTTAATCCCAGCGCTGCCCACCCTGATATTTGTTTATGCTACCAGGAAGTGTCATGTCAGCACTCCGCGGGCGGGATACTGTTTCGTGCCAGATCATACAAATTAACCAGTCTGGTGGCAGACCTCCAGACAAATTGCCGATAAATCGGTTCGCCATGAGACGCCTGGTAGCTAAGCGGGCACGTATGTTAATCGTCTCAGCATTGGCGGAGTTCAACATGTTTTGTATCAACAAATCGCCCTCAATGAAACCTAAGCCAGCAGATGTTTATATGAACTCCTGGACCCAACACCTACAAAAAGGTGCATGAGATGGGCCTTTTGTTTAGCCTGACACGCAATTCGCACATAAGCTTATTCCTCAAGGGTGAATAAATGTCACTATTATGTCAATCTTCGTATCACTCCCGAGTCGCCTCTAAAACCCAGCGAGCAGACGCATGTTGACTCCAACGTGCGATGATTTCACGCAGCGCTGGTGTCTGCGGCCGGTTCCCAGTGTCCGGTATTCAGGAT